GTATTTATTATCATTTATTTTTGTTTTAGAAAATATTATTTATTTCAATTATAGGCTTTATTAATATAATGCCTAAATCTCATAAAAGTACATTACATCAAAATATGTCATTTAAAAAGATTGAATCTTTTGCAAATAAGACAATATTGTCTGATTCAAGTACAGTATCTTCAAACAGTATGCACAGTTTTAATGTTAACACTGTTGATAATTTAAATGACACTATCACTAACCAATTATCATCAAATACAATGAAGGAATATATGCCCCTTTGTGTAGAAAATTCAATGAATTCGAATTCTACAATTTTTCAAAATTCATTGTAAGTAATTTACTTTTTCATTAATATTATGTACAATATGAAAAAATAATAAAATAATTTATATTATGTAGTACAAATCAAGAATCACAGGTATCTTCAACACCTGTTAACAATAACAGTGCAGTATTTAATTCCATACCGTTGTACAAAAGGAGTGCGATGGATTGTTATTCATTAAATGACAGTTTGAGTACATTAAGTACACTGTCATTGAGTGAAGATAAACCAAAATATACAACTAAAGCACCTAAGATTTTTGAAAAGAAGGTATATAGTACAAAAAGTTCTGAGCTCTTTAAAAAGTCTGGCAAAAAACATATTTTGTCACCACCGAAACTAAAATCAGTAACGCAAACATCATGGGTAGCTGGCGGTTATTGGCAAGAAGGCATCGACGCACCATCATTATCCAGATCGTCTAGTCAAAGTTCTGGTTTTGGTTCCGTGGGTTCTAATTTTGGCCCATCTAGAGAACCATCTATACATGAATTTGATCAATGTTCAGTTATGTCAGATGCAACACAATCTGGCTATACTTTGAGGCAAAGTAACAGTCCCGTTGGTACCTTCTGTCAACAGAGCCTGCAGTTTCCATTGTTAGAACCGAGAAATCAAGCGGTTAGTAACCAAACGATGAAACTTACATCACCTAACCTTTTCACTCCACAGACATTACTATTACCTCAGAATCACAAAAGAAATAATTCAGTTTATATGGATCAGTGTTTACAAGGACAAAATATGAATGTAAGCGATATTAAAAATCCTGAAATGCAAATGTTACCTAGTCATACCACTATTGTAACAAGCCCCGTTTGGTTACCAACACTTTTATGTGGTTCACTTGTGTTGAATATAATCGTGTTGTGTACTACTTTGTTACGTTAAAGAGGATTTATTATACATTTTCTGCCATTATTTCTTAATTTACATTTGCCGTTTATACAGACTTCGGCATAAATTGGTCGCCACGATATTTTAGCTGATTCTGATACTACAACAAAAGAATGTTTCAAACGAAAGTTTATTAGTATTAAATGAAGAATTTTTTGGTATAAAATAAATCTTTAAATGTATCTTTTTTCCATAAAAAATTAAAGTCAACTTAGGTTTTTTAAATAGCATTATATATTTTTCTTTTCATATTCAGAAACTACAGGAAAAAACTAATTCAATAGAAACAATATATTATTTTAAGTATCTGACCTTAAAATAATTTGATTTATTTGTGAAGTACAGTCCTCGAGTTGATCGACAATAAATAACGTCGAAGAACCCGACTTCAGACCGAAACAAATTAACGTATCGGCGATCGACTCGAAGATGAGACTTCACAAATAAATCAAAGACATACTTTTAGGATTAGATAATTAAAATAATACACTGTTTCTGCTGAATTGTTTTTTTTCCTGTAGTTTCTGAATATGAAAAGAAAAATATATAATACTATTTAAACAACCCAAGTTGACTAACTTTTTATGAAAAAAAATACTTTTAAAGATTTCTTTTACACCAATAAATTTTTCATTTAATACTAATGAACTCTCATTTGAAACATTTTTTTGTTAAAGTATCAGAACCAGCTAAAATGAGGAGACTGAGGAGGAGGAGGAGGAGACTGATTTATGCTCCACCTTGCATATGTTTTAGTTATCAGTTACAAATTCAATTGATTACTATTTTATAAATAGTAGTTTTAACAAATAGTAATTAATGATATAGAAATTTCAACCTATTGATAAACTGCCAGTATAAAGTTTTCTATTATGATCATAAAGTTTTCTTAGTATTACTCATTTCTTTATTTGACATAAATCATTGTAAATACTTTTTTATACACATTTTTATGAAGTATCAAATTTGAACAATAATATTAAGTTAAGTACGTAATAATGAAAAATAAGATACTGGTTTGATGGAAAATTCATCTGACATTCTAAACTGTCAAATTTGTGATAAAAAAAATGTTCTCCATGTGTGTTCACTAGTAAGATATGTGCATAACCCAACAAATTTAAGAATTAAGAATTAATGAAATAATACGAAGTTTACTTTGCATTGATAATCTTTGATTTGTGCATACAAAAAAAAACTACTATTTTGATTTTTATGACTGATTATATATTAACACACAGACTATAAATCTTGTTGAATTAATACTGTTATTATAATACATGTTAATTTCGTATTTGCAGTCTTGTACTATTATGCTGCATATAATTTAAATTATATAATTTGAAAATACAAAAATTAACTTTTTAAATTATAAATTGTAATTTTAACATTTTCTGTGTTTTTATTTTTACTTCCTAAGAATATGCATAAAAATTATGTTTCTATTACAAAATCATAGATTATATCACTATTTTATTTAATTCTCTTATAATCTCGTTATCTTATTGAAATGCAGTATATATTAATACAATAAAATTTTAAACAATTTACACATACAAAATGTAAAATGTAATGTTTTGAAAAGAGTAATAATTTATAAGATTTTATAATTTTATAAGAAAAAAACCGCAGGTTGTAAAAGTACAAGTCAGCAA